AAGTCTGGCAGATTCAAAAGTACATGATTTCTTACTTTTGCTACAAGTTCCACTAGCTATAAGCCTTCAAACCTTTTAAATATTCCCATCTCTGTGGTTCCGAGTTTTGGAGCTCTGCCCTAGATCTGCTCTGCCTGGTATTCTCTGGTATGGCTGACAGCGAACTTCACTGCACCTCCACCCTAGCTGCCATCAAGCTTCACCTCTTGGTTTCGTTCTTATGGTGACCATCCAAGGACCCATGGTGACGCAGTAGGTTAATCATTAGGATGCTAACATAAAGTTTGTTGGCTCAAACTCACCAGCTGCTCCGTAGGAGAAAGATGAGGCAGTATGCTTCCATAAAGATTTACAGCCCCAGAACCTTTTTGCAGCAGCTCCCCTCTCCTATAGACCTATAGGGGAGCTGTGAGTTAGAATCAGCTAGATGGTCATGGGGCTTAGGTGGTGACCATGATAAGATCAAAGACTACAGCCTTCAGTATGGATTAACAAAGAAAACAAAAATGCTCACAACTGGACCAATAAGCAACATCCAAATAAATGGAGAAAAGATGGAAGTTTGTCAAGAATTTCATTTTACTTGGGTTCACAACCAATGCCCATGGAAGCAGCAGTCAGAAAATCAAATGATGTATTGAAATGTACAAGTTGGCTGCAAAAGACCTTTTTAAAGTGTCAAAGAGAAAAATGTCACCTTGAGGACTGAGCTGAGCTTGACCATGATATTTTCAAATGCCTTTTGTGCATGTGAAAGCTGGACAGTGAATAAGGAAGACTAGAGAAGATTTGATGCCTTTGAATGATGATGTCGGTAAAGAATATTGATGATACCGTGAACTGCTGGAAGAATGAACAAATCTGTCTTGGAAGAAGTACAGTCAGAGTGCTCCTCAGAAGCCAGGATGGAAAGACGTCGTCTCGTGTACTTTGGACATCTTACCAGGAGAGGCATCATGCTTGGTAGAGGGTCAGGGGAAGACAGGAAGACCCTCGATGAGATGGATCGACATGATGGCTGCAGCAATGGGCCTAAATATAAGGAAGGCTGTGAGGATGGTGCTGGACTGGATTTGTTCTGTGGGCACACGCTCGCTATGAATCTGCTGCTAATATACAGCACCCAACGACAACACCCTTGCTCAAAGGAGGAGGGGGACCAGTTGTGCACCAGGTCCTGAGAACCAGTAACGAGATGGATCAAGGAAGAGCAGCTTTCAAGGAGGCTTGAATGATCAGTCATCATTGAGCATCTACTATGTGCTCATTTAAATCCCACTTTATTAAAAAAAAATGCTGTTGTGTGGATTCAGATTGCTGATGACTCCATGTGTGTCAGAGTAGAACTGTACCCCACAGGCTGTACAATGGGGAAGTTTCGGAAGTAGATTGCCAGGACTTTCTTCTGAGGTTCCTTAGGTGGACTCAAGATTCCAGCCTTTTGGTTAGCAGCTGAGCATATTAATGTATTTACTGTTTGCATACCCAAGGGCTCTGCCACCTTATTAGGTAGGCACTGGACCATATGGTTGGTTTGAAATGCAAGGTTGGCAGTTCAAACTCACCAGCTGCTCCTCATAAACCCTATATTTTATCGCTATGAGTCACAACTGACTCAGTGGCACAAACAACCACCGCAACAATTGGCCCTACTTTACAGAGGAAAATACTGAAGTTCAGAAAAATTGAAGTACTTGTTCAAAACCACACAGCTTATGAGTTAAAACACACTGTCTGATTCAAAATCCCATGAGATCAACTACTTAGCTAGGCAGACTTCCAACAGCAAACTCCAGAAGATCAAGTAAGAGAAGAAATGGAAGAAAAGTCATGTTGTTACTGGACGAGGTTGTTGGTGACCTTCCAGATGGCTGAGGTACAGATGGGGGTGGGGGGTAGAGACACAGACAGATTCCTGGTTATGACAGGGAAGACAGGACACTGGTCTGACAGAGACACTTCCAGATGGAGACTTGAGCTTATGAAACCAGAGGATAAGGGTGGAGTGGATGGGAGAGGGGCTGGTGGGGGATCAGGGTCCCTGGGGAACAGGAAAGCAGTGAACACACACTGGGAAGACAAATGCCCCGTGACGGTTAGCCTCTGGAGCTGAGAGAAAATCAGTATTTGTTCTGCTACGGCACCATGTGTGGTACCTGCATCACAGGAACACCAAGATGCCCCCTAAATCAGGAGGGAGGGTCCATCCCGGGGATGTGTTGTTGGAGGTTTTCAACATCTGGAGGGGCAGCCAGCCTGGGGAGGAGGAGCAGGAGGACAGAGGGGAGGGGACTGCTCTTTGCCTGCATCTGGCCAAGCATTCGGGGACTCCCTGGGCTGGGGGTGTGGCCAGCCCTGCCAGGAACCCAGGAGGAACCTCTTGAACTCGCAGGACTTTGGTTTGCTATCAACAGGGCACCACTCCATTTCAGACTCACAAGAGTTTGTTGACTCCTCTGACCCCATGACTTTGTCTTCTGGCTCCCCTAACACTGGCCCACCAGGAGCAGGTGTCTGGGTGTCTATACCTGTGGAAGGTGGAACAAACTGGACCAGAGATGTCACCTAATCCTCCAGACTGTAGGCGTCTCCCTGCCTCTTCCTAGAAAGAATAGCAACACCTTGAAATCTGAACATAGGCTCTTCTCTGCTAAGGTTAGAAGAACAGGTAGTGTGGAGTCTTTGAGTTTCAAGGTATTACAGATTGAATTGTATGTCCCTCCCCGCCCCCAAAAAAGTGCTATGAATCCTAATCTCTATGCCTGTGGTTATAATCCCATTTGGGACTGGGTTTTTCTTTTTGTTTGGCTAACAAGGCAGAATTTAGGATAGTGTGTGTTTTGAGTCATTCTCTTACAAGATAGAAAAGGAGCAGACTGAGGAAGCAGAGAAGGGGGAAGGTAGATGCCAAACCACACAGAGACCTCCAAGGAACCAGGACACAAGCTGAAGAGACAAGAAAGTTCTCCCAGACCTGACAGAGAGAAAAGCTCCCCCTAGAGCTGGCACCCTGAGTGTGGACTTGTCACTTCCTAAACTGCTAGAGAATACATTTGTCTTTACTAAAGTACTCCTCTTGTGGTATTTCTGTAAGAACACCACCAGAGAACAAAGACACTAGGATTGTATGCAGACCTTTCTGGTCAATCAGCAATGGAAGTGGAGTTGTCTGAAGGGGGTGAAGGAAGGGAGGGGCAAGGGAACGTGGATGGTCTTCCTGAAGGAACCATTTCAGGGAGGTGATGTGGGGGTTCACTCAGTAAACCCACCCACACTGAAGGCTGAAGGGCATCCTTGGGATGGCTGACAGCAAAGCCACATAGCCAAGGAGTGCAGTGACCACTATGGATGAGTTCCCACCCTCACCCCCATTCCACGGACAAAGCTCTGTGGCTTCTGTATGACCCGAAGCTAAGGGACAGAACCTCACTAATGACTGATAGAGATTATCCCATTATCAAGTCCTGTGGCATGCACTTCTACTTTGCAACACATGGGGGCGCCATGAATTGGAATTGGTTTAATGATAACTTGTTAAGTGCTGTTGAGTCCGTTCTGACTCATAGCAACCATGCATAAGGTTTCTGAGGAGTGGCTGGTGAGCTTGAACCGCCGATCTTGAGGTTCAAACTGACCTTGCAGTCCAATGCATTAGCCCACAATGCCACACAACTGGTTATCTGGAAATAGAGGACATGTCTCTCCCACCCCACTGTCCCTGAACAAAAGTGATTTC